TTTTGGACACTGTGGCTGCATTTTGGAGTAAAAATGCAGCCACAAATGCAGTCTTTTGGACTATGGGGAAAAAGGCTTTTCTGCCTGGGCTCCCGGAGTTAGCCGTGGCTGTAAGCTGCTTTCGTCTAACTGCTAGTGGCTCCGCCTCACCCCGTAGTGATCGACTCCCTGCAGCTACGCAGCGCCGCTATTCCCCTGCTTGGATCTCTGAGTAGCTGCCTCTCAGACTGCCAGGATCTCATAGTACTCTCAGTCTCTGACACTTTTTGTCTGTTGCTAATAAGGATGATCGATCAGCCATTGTTATCATGGAAATCCTCACTGTGCCGCGGATTCCGGCTGAGGGTTTTTCCTCTTCGTCTTCCTGCTCAAAACACAGCGCCGCTGCGCGCCCGCTTCGCGCCCCGCTTCGCGCCCGCTTCGCGCCCGCTTCGGATGTTATCAACCCATGTTCATTCTTCAGATAATCCTTTATATACAGAACAGAAACTGCTAAGCTAAAAACTAATTACGAAGTGAATGCTACCAGTCAAAATTTGCATTCATTTCGCGATTTCACTGCTTTTGCAGCTGCTCCGTTGGCGCCGCTACTCCTTTCCGCTTCTCTTTCACGGTTACTTGCACAACTTTACTTCGTTCCTCAGCAACAAAATACAGCCCATCGTTATTTATTGAAGATTTTACATTTCCAAAAACACAGGAATCTAATGTTTCGTTTCGTTTTGTACGTTTGGAAGCTCATTCCCTCTCACATAATCGGAAAAGCCGGGGAATGGCGGCGCTTTTGACATTTCTCTGACATTCGGAAAAATATGGTTTACTAATTTTANTATATTGTTGAATTATTTCCTGCTAAAATGGGGGTTAGGGTTGACGTTTAACTGTTCCTACCACTCCAGCGGTGAGCTGGCAATGTGGGATTTGGCCAAGACCGGTAAGCAGAAGTGGAGTCTGTTTGGAACGTCGTCTGAGGGTCAGAACCACAGCCGGATCGTCTTCAACATGAGTTCTGTTCAGCTGCAGGACGGCCGAGAGATTCTCATCAGCACATCCATGGACAGAGAGGTGTGTGCCTGGCTTCACCCAAAAAAATAACTAAAGTTTTACTTACCCACTTTTGTTTTACTAGATCTTTGAGGAAAAAATGATTTGTCTCTAAGAGTTTTTAAACTTTTACAAATTGTTTTAGAAATAAAAAAGTTGTACAAGACATTAAAAAGAATAAAAAATGGGGAAAGTACTTTTTAATTTAATACACTTGAAAAGAACAAATATTCAACTTTTCTGCTCTTTAGAACTTTAGAAGTTCTTTTTCTCCAGCCAAAGATAAATGTTTAACCTGAAACCTGCATTTTGAGAAACTGTTGGTTAAAAATAAGACTTTTGTGACAAAAATTATGTCATATTAGAAATTTAAATGGAAATAATGCTCTTTTTTTTAATCCAGCATAAAATCCATGTTTGTTTATGCTTCTGGGATTTAGTGCTTCTTTACACTGCAGCAACCTCAGACAGATTAGGTGGGTTGAAGAGGATTAAGTTGTTCTCTTTTTGCCACTGGTTCAGATTAAATGCTGGGACATGGACTCTCTGAGCTGCTGTTGGACCCTGCCCACGCTGGGGGGTCACGTCTACACCTTGAGCTTCTCCCCAGTGGGCGTCGGCTGTCTTGCGCTTGGCGTCGGGGACAACCTGATCCGAGTGTGGAATACGCTAAGCACCCAGAACCAGTACGACGTCAGATCGTTTTGGCAGGGCATCAAGTCCAAGGTCACAGCGGTAAGACTTAGCTGTGGGTATCTTACAATTTTCCAAAACTCAGTGTGGTTAAAAAAATGAGACCACAGTAAAACTGTACCCTCAGTGAAACATCATCATGTGTGCTGTGAAGGACATGGTCACATTAGGGCTTGAAACAGTTTGAAAATATAAAAAAACGTCCCCTTTATTAGCAAACAGGTGAACTTTTAAAACTACTTACTTGTAGTAAACATTCTAGAGATGAAAAACATGTATTAGTTTTTGCTTTAATTGCAGCTGGCGTGGCACCCGAAAAAAGAGGGGTCCTTGGCTTTTGGAACCGATGATGGAAAAGTTGGGATCTATGACGTCTTCTCCAACAAGTAAGATCCTCTATGGCAGGATTTGTAATACTCTTTCCAAACTTCCTCCTTCTCCTGATTGCTTTTGACCGCTGGTTCAAGGAGGTCATTTCATGTGTTTTTGTATCCATTTGCCAAACTGGCAAAACACAAAACACTGAAAGTGTCTTTCATCTTCCAATTCCTTTGGGTCATTTTCCTAAAGTGTCACCATCCTCTCTCTCTCTCTGATTGTTCTCCTGCAGGCCTCCTCAGATATCGAGCTCCTATCACAGGAAGACTGTGTACACATTGGCCTGGGGGCCCCCAGTGCCCCCGCTGTCGTTTGGTGAGTCCCTGCTAGCTCTGAAATCAAAATCAAGAAAACTTTAACTTGAAAATGTTGCTGCTGATTTCCAAAGTGCAGCTGGTCTGCAGGGACAGACTGCATCTATGAGACACGTTTGTGTGACGTTTAGGTGCAGAAGGAAAGCAGAGCTACAGTCTGTACAGCTGCGCCGGCGAGGGCATCATCCTGCAACACGAACCAGCGAGGCTGAACGGAGAGGCATCAGACATCGACGAGCTCATCAGAGACACCAACAACATCCAGGTGGGGTGTGTGTGGAGTGTGTGTGTCATCAGGATGACAAAACTAAAATCTTGAGTCATTTCTGATATTTTTTTTAGCTGAACATTAGAAAAAAAGCCTGTGTTCGGTCTTGTTTCTACTGAACCTCTCCTGCTTTCAAACAGCACAAGTTGTCTCCACACACGGACCTCAGCTGGAAGCCGGATGGGAAGGTTGTCGCCATCGGCAACGAGGATGGGTGAGTGACTCAAATCTATTTACCCACAGAATAAGGAGATTAGTTCTGTTTGAGCTGTTGAGACTTTGTATTTATTTCTGTGTTCATTTAAAGTTCAAAAGCAGGACCAGTAAATTCAGAGTCGTCAGAGGATAGTTGGGGGTCTTTGAGAATTTTTATTTTTAATATTTATGTGTTTATTTTTTTTTAGAATCTTTTTGTTGTCTGTTTCTAGTCTCAACAAAATTACTTCACTGATTTAATTTTAGTTCAGGATATTTTTGGCATCCTGAGCCAGAAAAGGTTAAAAAAAAAGAGGCAGTGGTATAGCTTCAGTTTCCTCAGTAGAGTTAGTTTTCATTAAATAATTGTAAGTTGTTTTAACTAGAGAAGGGCCACAACTCCTTCTTGAGTTACAGTGTTAGCATCACAAAGAATTTCTTCTAAATGAATTGTTATAAACTAGAGGAGTAGCAATACATTGCTTTATATCAGTTAAATGATTAATGATCCAATTACGTTGATGCAAAATATAAATATCAGTCTGTTTCATCAAGTTTAAGATATTTCCTTATTTTTAACTTTTTACTCCAATGCCTGTAAGAGCATAGTCGTTATTTTTTTGAGTTGAAATGGATGTTAAGTGCGCATATGATTTATTGATTGCAGTTTTGTGAATTAAATTGTATTGTGACAGACATATCAGCAAACATTGTATCGTTGTCTAAGTAATAGATATGATATTGTGGTTAGTCATACCCACACACCTTCTGAACATCTGAGTGTTTTGTTCCTGCAGGAGCATCGATGTGTATCAGGCTCCCAGTCTGTTGCTGCTGTGCAGCATCCAGCAGCACCACAAGATCATCAACACGCTGCGATGGCACCACGACCACGGCGCTGCGCCGGAACTCCACTGCCTGCTGGCCTCAGGCTCCAGCAATGCCATCGTCTACATCCACGACCTCCGCTCTGTCATTGGTTGGAAACATCTTCTTGTTGTTTTCAGATATTTTTTTCCTCCATTCATTATTGGTATTTCTTGTCGATCCTGACCTCGTGCAGTTCTAGAATTTTTAGCTATGAAAACATTATTTCAGACCTTTTTTCTAGATTTTTGTGTTTATTATTCCTTTATTTAAAAAAAAAGGAAAATTGAGTTGACATTTTAAACTGCCTTATTATTGTCTGATTAGCAGTTAGTGACTGGCAGATTCTGTGTATTCAGAGAATGTAGATCCTTACCTTAATTTTGACATTTCAAAAAATCTTCACAACTTTTCTGCAATAAGTTCAGCCTTCCTGTTATCCGTTGAAAGCCTGAATAAACAGTAGCTGTCTCCCTACACATTGTTTAAACTATTGTCCACCTGAGTAGCTTCTTACAATTTCTCCCTCTGACTTCATTTTAAGAGACTTTTTATCTTTACACAATAACAACGTTCACACTGAAGAGTGTTGCCAATGCAACCTGGTACTGCTGAGGAAGAGGCCATTCACAAATAGCAAAATAATTGCAATCAACTGGTGTTTTGGAGCATCTTTGTCTTTTGTTATTGGAAATGTCATCGTATCAGGGAAAATTAGAGGGGACAAACGTTTTGTTGCTTTTTTGAATGCTCAATCAGTTGGAACTATGTGTCTTGCATTTTGCACAGATTTAGCAAAATCTGTTTTAATTTGTATATTTTTTCTTTCACATAGAATCAAAGTTTAGTTTATTTCTTTAATCTAGTTTTGGGCAGCATATATTTCATTATCTCGCTTTCTGCAGAGAATCCTCCAGAGAGCCCGGCGGTGCTGACTGAGCCGTACCGCCGGCTCTGTGGTCACACGGCTAAAATCACCAGCGTGGCCTGGAGTCCGCACCACAGCGGCCGACTCGTCACCGCCTCATACGACGGCACGGCTCAGGTCAGTCTGGACATGTATCTGGGTACTTTACTTCTATGCAGTCTTGAACTACACTTAAGCTCCTATACTTTATTCGAATAAATAAATAAAATACAAATAAATAAATAAAATACAAATATCTCCCTAAAGTATAGGGAGTTATTTTGTTCATTTGAACATGTCGCATTACAAACAGGTTTTGAATAAAAAGGAGTAGTGGGAAGAAAAAACCTTATACCATCTACTTCTTCTCTCAAAAGTGAATTAGCTATACCATCAATCAACCATCCATATAGATTTATCTTTAGCTCTAAACAAACATCTTCTTAATGCTCATTTACCCAGTTGAACAGTTTGAGTTGGACGGTGATATTTAATGGTGTCCCTCCATGTAGGTGTGGGACGTCCTGGAGGAAGCGGCCGTCTCCAACTACCGTGGTCACACTGGGTATCTGCTGTGTGTTGACTGGTCTCCAGCTGATCCAGATGTGATCTGGACTGGAGGGAAAGACTTCACAGTCCAGGAGTGGAAGGTCTCCCAGCAGGAGTTCACCAAGCCCCCTAAAGGTAGACATGGACATGAAGAAGGTCTGTTTGCCGATACAGCTTTCTGTGACGCCATGCTACCATTTAATCTCAGGGAAGAAGATGGTCATGATGCAGGAAAAGAAGCAGAAGAAGAAGAACAAGATGGCATCAGGATCTGTTGGACCGGCAGAACCGAAGATCAACGGCGAGCCGGCAACTGAAGGAAAGCAGGCAGAGCAGGCTCTGTCTGAGGAAGACGAAGAGGAAGAAGTCCGATCAACAAACAGTCTGGAATCTCCAGCTGGTAGGTGAACAGTACAGTAAAAGGAGCTTGTTTTAATTATTATTTTATATGAAGCATTTTTTTTTATTCTTAGCAGTTATTGAGGTACCAAGGAAATCCACTCCTGCTGCAAAACTTAAAGACAAACCAGGTGAGTGGATTCATCTTTTCTGAAAAACTGAACAGGATGGTTGTGAAAATGAGAGTAAATTCTGATGTTTGTTTTGCATCTATTAATCCAATCCTCCATTGTAAATAACTGGTCAATATCTCATAATGTTTCATGTGTTGCCTCTCCAGACCTGATGAAGAAGAAGAAGCCTCGCTCCATGCTGCCTCTCAGCACATCCATGGACCACAGGCCCAAAGAGGAGCTGCTGCAGGACTGCCTGACTCTGGCTTCAGTCAAACACTCCAGTGGTGAGAAGCTTAAAGTCAGAGGGTTCATGTCATCAAAGGTTCATATCCATCTAGAGAAATATTTACTAATTCTTAAACTAAGGCAAAATGGATCTATTCAGCCGTCGATCTGTCTCCATAACTGAAGGCATCTGATTGGTTGGTTTCAATCATTTGGTTTCATATTTTTAAACAATGAATACCAATTGGAAAGCAGCTGGACTGAATGTTATTGAAAATCCATTTCAGTAGAGGTGCAGCAATAGATCAGACATGATTTCCTTAATTTTGAGAGAGCTGCAGTCGCCCAGTACTTAAATGAGAAACTGAGCTTGTTTCCCTCCACAGAAGTCTGAAAATCAGGAGTTGACATTAATCACCACACTGTTTCCAACTTTGTCGCTGCATTTTGCGACTTTTCAGACATTGGCCAAAATCAAAATCGTCAGGTCAGACTTTTATAAAGATAGGTGATTGGCCAGAAAACTGTAGTCGTTACACCTCTATATATCAACGAACTTCACAAATAGAAATATCTGTGAATTGCACACAGCTTGATTCTGTTTAATAATTTGGTGACGTCTGAAAGCAATTAGCTGCATAGTTCTGCACTACTTTGTGTTTCTATGTCACATAAAGACATGTTTGTGGCTACAACTTGACATTATGTGGAAAGGTTCAAGGGGCGTAAATATTTATTGCAGGGTGCTGTACTTGAGGTTCTAGATTTTGACTTATGCACTAAACTTTTGTTGCTTTATCTTGCAAAAACTGGTTAAGTTTCTACATACAAAAAGGTCAAAGATCTGTCGATAAAAGCGTTTTTGTGTTTTTAGCGCCACCTGCAGGCTGTGTCCCAGGCCAAGGAGATTATATCCACCTGGGTCTGTTTCATGACAGAGAGGCTCTGCACCGCATGTTTCAGGCTGAAGGTTTGTGGGATTTTTCTTCTTCAGCTGCTGAAGGTTAAGAAGTTCAGAGTCAAAGACTAAACTATTTTTCTTCTTCTCTTGTTGTTTAGAGGAGAGCCATGTGGAGGCGGGCCACTACGACTCTGTGGTGTATTTGCGCCTGTGGAGCGGAGACCTGCAGGGGGCGCTGCAGCTCGCCACGGAGAGAGGAGAGCTCAGTGACCACCTGCTCTCCATCGCTCCCATGGGTAACAGCTTCACCTCAGCAGGCTGCGCTTTTATTGCTGTGCACAAGGGTTCCCTCTAGTGGTGAACAGGAGAATTTTAGATTTATTCTAGTAGAAAACGGTTTGGTTTTATTTTTCTTCTCGTGCAGCTGGCTTCGAGGTGTGGAGCCGTACGGTGGAGGCCTTCGTCAAGCAGCTGTGTCTGCAGGAGCAGTTCCTGAAGGCAGCGTCCCACCTGCTGTCCATCAACAAGCTGTACGAGGCTGTGGACCTGCTGAGGTCCAACAAGCTCTACAGGTTCATGTCTCCCACCGTTCATACACACGAGCTTATCTGTGTAACTTACTGTTGCTCTCTGCTTAATTTATGTTTACATCCACTCATCCTGGGCATTAGGTTCCATTTTTAGTATTTTTTTTCCAGAGTAGGGTAATTGCACAACATATGGCTTCAAAGACTATAAAACAAGAAATGGGTGTGCAAGATTGAGTTTATTGCGGACATTCACGTTCCTTTATTTAACTGATGTCCTAAAGAAGCACATCTAAGAGGCGTTGTGAATGGTGATGTTGTGGTCAGGAAGAATCTGCAGTAACAGTCAGTCTCAGAACAAGTCTGAAGTGGCTTCTGACTGAAGACAGTTGCTGTAGGTAGGACAGTTTCAAGATTGTCATGATATGTCAACAGCTCAACATCTGGGCAGAACAGACTGTGTGATAGTAAATTATCTATCACAGTAAAGAAACTATGTCCTGGATGATTCAGTCAGTTGTTAGCAAGCACTGCTAATCCACCTCAGTTTCTTTTGCTAAAGATGTTTGAACTGAATTAATGGAGGTGGTGGGACTAAGGAGATCTAAGGAGTGGTTCCAAACACATCCAAATCAAAAAGATTCAAATAAATCAATAAAAGTTTAGAAATAAGTGACATAAATGCCCTTCTTAAAAGCACAGTGAGAAGCAGAGTATTTATGGCACAGACTTTAGTTTTAATGCCGTTGATTTTTGTGCTGTTCCTGCGTCTGGTCTGGTGTTCTTCAGGGAGGCCATTGCTCTGGTGAAAGCCCGGCTCCCTGCAGACCAGCCTCTGCTGAAGGATCTCTACACATGCTGGGCTGCTGTGCTGGAGAAAGACGGACATTTATCTGCTGCTGCTAAATGGTCAGAAGCAGAACCACAGAATTACACCCAGAATTCAGATTGTGATTCTGAACTGTTTATATTTTCTCTCCTCCTACGTTTGCGCTCAGTTACCTCGGTGCCGGCTGCAGTTTTGACGCAGCCAAAGTCATCGCCAGGAAGAACGACGCCCCGTCTCTGAGGACGGCGGCTGATCTGGCGAGAATCTCCGGAGAGGAAGTTCTGGGCCAAACTCTGGCTCTGAGATGCGCTAAAGACCTGGCCGCTGCTCAGGACTGGGTCGGAGCACAAGAGGTTCTGAGCTCACAGAGCCCCCTGCTGGTGAGAATCTGTCATATCCTGAAACTACTCCTTTCTGTAAATATTCAGAGCATTTAATGTTGCACTTTGTGTCCTGTAGGCCCACAGGCTCCATCTGTGTGTGGCTGAACTGCTGGCTGCGGCGCTGGAGGACTCTGGCGTCCTCGCCCCGGCTTCCTGTGTCTCCACTCATCTGTGGGCAAACCTGAACGGTTACACCACCTTCCAGGACAGAGCGAGAGACATCTGGGAGGAAGAGTTTAACGTTTGCCTGAATTCAGCTGGAGATCGGAGCATCAGCGCGCTTCTGGAAGAGCTGAAGTCTGTGGAGACTCCAGCACGGAGCGCCAGCATTCCTCTCAGACAGGTTCGCTCCGAAGACCACCCACAGAGAACATTCACATGTATTGCAAAATGGGAACGACTTGGGTTGCTGAATTAAAAAATGAAAAGAATACAAATATTTGAAACGGAGAGATACATACTACCATCTGTGTTTGCTAAATGCTAAAACTTCTCTTTTCTGTTCTGGTTTGGCTCTGCCGTCTTTTTTCCTGCATCAACCAGCTCTGCTTCTGGGTGGAGGCCAAACTATAACACTGAAATAATGTCTAAGAAGACATTAATTGATTGGAGCTCATTTTAACCTATTAAACCTTTAATCGTAAGTTAATTATTTGTTTCAATTCATTACACGAACCCATTTCTGTCCATGTTCAGGTCCTGCTGTACTCCTCGGTCCATCTGACTCGCTCGCTGCTCAGCTGGCTGCTGAGCGACGACGGGCGGCTGCTGACGGAGCTGTGGCAGGCTGCGGCTTGGATCGGAGACTCTGGACACTTTGAGGTCTCTGCGACGTTCTGCCGGCTGCTGTTCCCTGAAGGTATCAGTACCACTTCAAGCTTTTATTTAAGCTGGTTTGAAATCATTCTAGAGATTGTAGTTAATATTAATTAGGGCTGAGTGATGCAGCTTAAAAGTAAAATTAGATTTTTTTTTTCAGAGCAGATGTGATTTTAATTTAATTTTTATTAAAATGACAGAAACCATTTTCAAAAGTGACTTATTTCAGTCATCCCTTCTGAGAGTTGTACAATGGAGAATTGGGGACCAGCTGCGAGAGTCTTTAATTATGAAAATATAGTCATTAGCAAAATAAATGCTTCTTTACTAGAAGAACTTCTGAAATATGAAAAGTTATTTAAGAAAAAAAAGCCTGAGTTTTTTACTTTTTTTTTTTGGTTGTTGGGAATTTTCGTGAAATTACTTAATTCTATTATTTCAACATTAATGTCATTCTACTTTATTCTTGTAAAATGCCGTATTCTTGTAATGAAAAAAGAAAAAAAATATTTGCGTGACCATTATATTTCAGAGTATACCTGAATTTATAGTGCAAATATATGGCAGCTTCCCAAGCAAGATGGCGGCTCTGGCTGCGGTGACATCACTCTGAACTAAGGAAAGCTGTGGTGGGAAAAAAAAAATCCAATGTTCCAAAAATTAAATCTTCAAAAATTAGATTAATGGATAAAATCAATTTATCTCCCAGCCCTGATATTAACTAATTGATCGGTTTGTCACACAGGTGACGTCAGGATATTTTCCAGGAAACATTCCACAACACTCCACCTCTCTGAAGCTGAAGCTGAAGCCGAAGCCGGCAGCCTGCAGGCGGTCGTCTGTTACCACCGTCTGTATGAGTGTTGGTGGAGGGACTCGGTGGTCCAAAATGGACCCAGCTTCTGCATCAACGACGAGCCGAACGACCAGGCAGGAGCGGCAGAGTTGAAAGAGCGGTGCTCTCAAGGACTGGACTTTGAGCCATCGGCGCTTCTATCAGAGCCTCATGCGGCCTGTCAGGCCACTCAGAGGTCAGTGAGAGAGACCCAGGAGCGACTGTCCACCATGGTTCTGCAGCACAGCCGGGTCCAGGATGGACGGACGGACTCTGGGAACCAACAGGAAGGCAGTCAGTCTCAGACAGCAACCTCAGACGTTGAGCAAGGGTCAGGATTGTCGTCGCTTATTTCCATTTTCTTTATCTGGAGAAGTGGCTCTTAAAATGCCATAAAAAGGTCTAAATTTCCTCATCAGGTTTCACGTTTCATTAAGCTGTGCCTCATATTTGTACATTTCAGCAGCTGGGTTAAGTCTGATGTTAAGCTTACTGTCTTTTTAAAAGTTCTAGCCCTAGATGTAATAACACTTGTATGGCGGAGCTGGTTTTACTTTTACTTAATGTTCGTCTTTTAGTCAAATTCTTTGGAACATTTCAGACCAAAGTGACTGTTGCTCTTCTTCCTGATGTTTCCTTCCTTTTTATGCAGATCTGAGGAGGAGGAAACTTTCCTTTCTTTGTCCTCAAAGATGTCCAAACTCCAACAGACCCTAGAAAACATTCCCAACACAATCAAGGTAATTAAAGTTGGTTGGCAAGTCTGGATACAAACAATTCCAAGAAATGGACAATGCCTATGGATTTTTTTTTTTTGTCTTGCAGATGTTTCCTCGTCCAGATGTGGTGGAATGTTGCCTTGTTCTCTTGCATCTCGACAAGTCGTCTTCTGTTTCAGACGTCCTTCGACAACAGGCCAAAGATCTGCTCCAAAAATACGGAACCAGTCTGCCTGTCCTGAAAGCGTCCCGAGGATTCCTGACGTGATCTGGTTTTCCTTTAGACTGAAACACCTCACTCGCACAGCTTTTTTGGAAATGAAATAAATCTTTGAAACAGATCTTGAGTCGAGTGAAACTACATCACAACGTCCGCTACCTGATCGGAAGATGAAATCTTATGTTCTCAACAAACCTGGAAGCAGAAAACGGAACAACTGAACCCACAGAGCATTTACCTCATTCAGAATGAGCTAAAACAGTTTTAATTTTTGTTGAAATTATACATTTTAATTTACAGGCCCTTCCAGCATCAACTTAAAAAAATAAATCCCTGCAGGGGGTTGGGGGGGAAGAAAGGGGTTGAGGGAATCTGTCTGAGAAGTCTTTAAAATCCCAGGATGTCAGGCGCTGGTCCCACGCTGTAAAAACAAACACGTTTAAAAAAAATTGATCCGACTTGTTTGGCCTGAGACTCGGCTAAAAAGTGACATGGAAAGAAACGAGTCGGCCACTAAAGGATCTGTTCCCACTGCGAGTCCATTGAAAGTCGCTCGGATATGTTCACACAAGTTCCTTGTTGGAGAGCAGAATTTTTTTTTTTTTAAAAAACGAGTGAAGCTGAGCGGCTGCTCAGTGTTTGTTGTTGGTCTCCTCCTGTCCCGACCCGGAGATCCCGTTCTGTGGCTGGCTGGATCCAGATCCCAGACCGTAGAGCCGACCGCAGTACTTGGCGTCATCGATGTGGTCTTCAAAGAAAAGCTGCAAAGACGAGAACAGCTTAAATTAAAAACAGAGCTGTGCTAAAGTTTTCAACTACCCTAAATTCCTTTTTTTCTCTTTCAAAAAGTTCTGAAACAAATTCTGAAGGTTTTTCTCTATCGACTTCAGATACTTTTCAACACAGTCCTTGAAAACTTAAGTTTTGCCAGGCATAACCAAAACTGAACATGTTACAAGTTTAATAGGCAGGTAAATAAATGACAAAAATCAAAAAACAAATGGAGAAGCAGCAAAACCTTCAAAAGAGCCCAGAGACAACGTCTGAATATTATTGGAAGTAAACAAACAAAGAACAAAAAATATTTTATACAAAACTCTGATCATGCCATTAAACACAAAACAACTCAGAATTTCAGGGCAAATCATTCTATTTTTGACCTTTTCATCACTGCTTAGCATTTTTAGCAAAAAAAAAAAAAAATTCAAATTTGAATGTCTGGTTTTGGTGAAACATCAAATGTCATTAAAAGGAAAAAACTTGTTAAATGAACTTTAAAGATAGAAAAACTTTTTACCACATCTGATCCAAGCTTATCAACCTCATTAATACTTATTGTACAGAACAATTTCAAAAATTTATAAAACAGAGGACTACTTTAGTTGCATAACTTCAAAGGTTGAGGCTCAGTTTACCTCTTTCATCCTGAAGAAAGCCATCCCTGTGAGCAGCGAGTCGGATCCGGCCTGATGCTGCCGTCCGATCCTCTTCAGCTCCAGCTGATCGGCTACTTCCTGCAGGCCTCCCTGCAGCACAAACACAGCAGGCGGGTGAATCCTGGCTCCTCCAAACTGGATCAAATATAAGATGTGGTTATATTTCAGCAAACCTTGAGACTTTTGCAGCTCTTCATCAGGTATTTGACATCGTAGATTGCAGGAAAAAACAAGTTGAGGATCTGAAAGAAGTCGTGCTCCTCCTCAGGAAGCCGAGCGTCTGTCAGAAGCTTCACCAGATAGCCAAAGTCGTAGCCGCTGAAAAATCAAAGATGAGAATGTTTGTAAAAATGCTTATGAATCACAGGGGCTACATCTGCTAGGTTTAAAAATAGGGCTGTGTGATAATATCGATTTTGCGATATATATCGATATTTTCTTTCCTAGAAAAAAAATCGATATTCATCCGAAAGTATCGTAACATCCAACTGTCACCTTGCTCACTCACTGCTTGCTTCGCCGGGAGTTTGATTAGGTCATCAGGCTTAGAGTGATTCCTTCAGATGTTAAGTGTCAAGGTTAAAAAGGTATCAAACTATTCAGAGCAGGGTACTTGGTGCACTTTATTTACTTTATAAATCCATGTAAGCTCCAGTTTGTACTGTTTCAATTAAAAGAAACATGTTTTCTCACCACTTCTATGATTTATTTTGTCCAGCTGTCGACTTTAAGTCTGTGTCCATGTCCAATCAGAGCCAGGTATTGTGTAGTTGGTGCTTTTAATCAGTTTTCAGTTAAATTAATTCAATGCAACTCTATAACAGTCACAAAATGTCACCAAAATCACTCTGTCCCTCTAAAATTTTTCAAAAAAATCGCAAAGGTGTATTGAATTGTATCGCTTGCTGAATATCGCAATATCATGAGCAGAATATTGTGAATTGTATCGTATCATGAGATTATGCATCACTACAGCCCTATTTAAAAACAGCCAACCTGTGGAAGGAGAGCCACTTGACGTTTTCACAAAGCACCAGGCCGGACGTCATGAGGAGCTCTGCAAAGTACAGCGTGTCGATTCCTTCTTCTTCATGCTTTTTGAACTGGAGGCCGGAGTTCTGCAGCAGGTCGATGGAATCCTGCGAATACATGTCTTCTCTGAGGAGAAGATAAACATCTCATTACATTCTTAGTATGGTACAAAACTAAACATATTTTGTTCACCCTGAATCACCAGGGATGTGGTATTCCACTTACGTGAGGTTGAATTTGAAGTTGAACTGCCACGTCGTCGTCCCCGGAGGATAAGTGCCGTCCTCGTTCATGAACGTGAGTCCGAGCTGGATGATCTTCAGGAGGTCCACGTTGCATCTCAGCAGCTGGTACTGGTAGTCCACCGTGCTGCGAAACTCTCCGATTGGCCGCACAACAACCCCAGGGAACTCTGTGTCCTAATGAGCAACAGAGATCATCACTGATCTGTTAAAGTGACGAGGGTCAGCCACTTCAACTAATCTCTCAAAGAGAAGTATACAGGAGTAGTTCAGGTATAGTTTAGGTTTGGATTTGTGAGCACAGAGTGGATCAATTGATCAGCTCAGGATGCATGTACGTAAAATTTGTTTCGCTGAACAAAGTCAAAACTCTCACCATGGCGACATAGTTGTAGCTTTGGATAATCTGTCTGATCTTTCTCATCTCTTCTTCCACATTGCTCGCCCAGACTTCACAGATGATCTGACTGGAATCTGCAAGTGCAGCTGGCATGTTGGTAGGTTGGATGAAAAGCTAAAATCCTAGCAGTCCTGCGGCACTCAGTGGGAGGCAAAGAGCGAATCCGATAAAGAAAAGAGGGACAATCCTGGAAGAATAAGGAAAGGAAAATGTCAGCCAGTTTACCCCGTGATTAGCAAGGGAATTTGAACTAGGAGTATGACACACAGAAAAACTAAAACCTATCACATTCCAGTCTGTAAAAACACCCAAAAAACTCCTCTTCTCTGATGCACCTGTATCAAGATTATAAACATCTTTTTCAATGCATAAACGTGGAGATATAAAATAACGCTGTTTTATAGCTATAATTGTTTCTATTTTTTAAAACAAACATAATGTGCTGGCATGCCTGATTCAAGATCTGGGCAAAAAATGAGCTAAACATCAGACAAAGCACACAACAAAACCGTCTGTAGAGCTGTGGTTTGAGCTTTAAGAAAAATCTAGCTCCTCTGTAGGGAATAATAACTTATTAATACACAAGAACTCTTTCCTTTAGAACCTTTTATACTTTGGCCCTATTTGCTATACGTCATCATTTTACTTTTTTCATGTTTAATCATCACCAAAATGTAATGCCCAACATTTAGATTAAACAGGTAAATCAGATGAGATAGAATATTGAGAATTTTTTTTTTCATCATGTTGCCATGACAGCAGAAGGAGCAACCGTTAGCTTAGTTAGTTCAAATTCAACTAGAAAGCACCAAATACAGAGAAAAATGTTAACTACAAGCCATTTGAAAGAGTATGCTTATAGGAAATTAATTAAATTCACTGTAAGCGATCTATTTGAAACAAAAACAAACGTCGCAACGACTGGAACGCTAGCATTTAGCTTAGCATCGAAGCTAACCTTCGACGGGAAGCGGCACAAAAACAAAGAACAAATAAGAAGCGCTTCCCTGTTCCACTCCTCCGCGTGTTGTACTCGAGCTTTATCTGCCATAAGGATGACACACTGACGTTGGGAAAATTATTAAAATATCATTTTACCTGCTGTTTTCTTCAATCGAAGCCTGTCAGCCTGGTTGATGAGGATGTTTTCTTATTCGTTTTCTTTTCGCCTCTTCGTCTTCAAAACGCACAGGAGCACCACCTGCTGTCAGGGAGTGATTGCGTGATGACGTGATATCTACTAGCCCTACACGTACTCAATAGATAAAATATGAGAACAAATTCAAGCCTTAGTTTACAGTAGCATGCTGGTTTTTTTTTCTAATTTATTGTGATTGCTTGATATGGACTGATATAAATATTTGCTACAATTTCTCATTTTTTTTTCCCAGTTGCAACTGATATGCTTGTTCTTTTTATTACAAAGCCATAAAACACACACTGCTCCCGCATTTAACTTTTTTAGTGAGAAACAGGGTTGTTTGGATGAAGATGTTTTAATATTTTTAAACCTGCATGTTTCCTTCATATACAACTGAAATCAAAATTTACATACAGTGTAAAACATTTTTTTCTCTGTCTCATTTTAAATCAGACTAAACTTGTTTCTGTTTTACATTTATCATCTTCGAATTCACAAATGCACCAACATTTATTTAGTATTTAGTATAATTTCCCTTTTAAACTGCAAAGCCTAGATCAAATGTTTTGGATTTCCATCTACAAGTATGTATTTACATGTTAATGATTTCTACTGGACTGTACTTTAAACCGATAATGCCATTATGTTGCTTTATATTGTTTTCAGACATGACAGTCTCATTTCCTATTAGGAGCAAATATCTAAGTTGAAAGAAAATCATTCAAAATTTAAATCTGTCAGGGGTTTGAATAATTTTGGGCTTTAATGTACGTTGGGATTATCT